ATATAATACTTACTTGCTGGTTATTGTAAATAAATGTATTTAATTAGATGATGTTTTAATAAAAATTATTTTGTGTTGGAAAGTTGTTAATTTATAATATAATACTTACAATCTAAGAAATAAAAAATAAAAATATTTAATTAGATGATGTTTTAATAAAAATTATTTTGTGTTGTAAAGTGTGTTAATTTATAATATAATACTTACCATCTGGTTATTATAAAGAAACAAAAAATAAGATTATTTAATTAGATGGTGTTTTAATAAAGTTTATATAATATAATACTTACTCCCTAAAAAATAAAAAATAAATTTAATTAGATGACATTTTAATATTTTGTGTTGTAAAGTTGTTAATTTATAATATAATACTTACGAACTGGTTATTGTAAAAAAATAAAAATAAATGTATTTAATTAGACAATGATTTTGTGTTGTAAAGTTGTTAATTTATAATATAATACTTACTCCCTAAGAAATAAAAAATAAAAATATTTAATTAGATGATATTTTAATAAAATTTATTTTGTTAATTTATAATATAATACTTACTCCCTAAGAAATAAAAAATAAAATATTTAATTAGATGGTGTTTTAATAAAATTTATTTTGTATTGTAAAAGTTAATTTATAATATAACACTTACCATCTGATTATTATAAAGAAACAAAAATAAAATTGTTTAATTAAATGGTGTTTTATTTTGTGTTATAAAGGTTAATTTATAATATAATACTTACTCTCTAAGAATAAGAAATAAAAAATAAATTTATTTAATTAAATGATGTTTTTATAAGGCTCCTCATGAGCTGGCTTGTGAGCCAAATAACTTATTCAGCTTGCGAGCTGACTTGTGAGCTAAATAACTCATTCAGCTTGAGAGCCAGCTTGTGAGCTTACCAAGTTATTTGGCCTGCAAGCTGTCTCATGTAGAGCCTTGCATTTTTAATAAAAATTATTTTATGTTGTAGTTAATCTATAATATAATACTTACGTCCTAAGAAATAAAAAATAAAAATATTTAATTAGATGATGTTTTAATAAAGTTTATTTGTGTTGTAAAAATTAATTTATAATATAACACTTACGATCTAAGAAATAAAAAATAAAATTATTCAATTAGATGATGTTTTAATAAAAATTATTTTATGTTGTAAAAGTTAATTTATAATATAATACTTACTTGCTGGTTATTGTAAATAAATGTATTTAATTAGATGATGTTTTAATAAAAATTATTTTGTGTTTTAAAGTTGTTAATTTATAATATAATACTTACGACCTGGTTATTGTAAAAAAAATAAAAATATTTAATTAGATGATGTTTTAATAAAAATTATATTGTGTTGCAAAGTTGTTAATTTATAATATAATATACTTACGAACTGGTTATTGTAAAAAAATAAAAATAAAAGTATTTAAGTAGATGATATTTTATTAAAAATTATTTACGTTGTAAAGTTGTTAATTTATAATATAACACTTACCATCTAAGAAATAAAAAATAAAAATATTTAATTAGATGATGGTTTATTTTATGTTGTAAAAGTCAATTTATGATATGATACTTACATTCTAAGAAAAAAAGATAAATGTATTTAATTAGATGATGTTTTAATAAAAGTTATTCTGTGTTGTAAAGTTAATATCTAAATTTAAATCATTACCTTTATTTATAGCATTATCCTTAACTTCAACTATAATTTAATTAAACAAATAAAAGCATCACATTGAAAAATAATTAAATTCAGAAAATTAAAGTAAAATTTTATTAAAAAGTTATCAATGAAAATCTAGTTTACCTTGATTATCATCAACATTTGCTGAAAAATCCCTAGCAAATTTGTAAAGTTCACCAATAGTTGGTCTTTTAGACTGGTCAACATCCCAACACTCTTGCATCATTTCCGCATATTCTTCAGGCATATTTGGTAAAATTGATGGTCTTAAATCTTCTTTACAGATTTCCAAAATTAAACAATGATCATGGGCTATATTATCAAATGGTGGACTTCCAGAAAATATTTCCCACATCAACATTCCAATACCATAAACATCAGATTCTTTTGTATTTTTGCTTCTTTTTCGAAGAACCTCGGGTGCAATATATGGAATCATTCCATCCTTTTCATTTTTACCATCAACTGGTCCACACGATCCTAAATCTGTAATATAACATTTACCTGCTTGTACTAATACCTTCCCGCTATGTAGATTACGATAGATTAAACCTCTGTCATGTATATCACTTAATGATAAGCACAAAGTTTTAAAGAGTGTAATTCTACCACTCAAAGTCAACTTTGAATGATTATTTTGTAAATATTCCCTTAAAGTCTCTTGTTGGAAATAATCTGGCTCCCTTGCGTGCTTGCTATACTCCGGCTCGCCTGTATTATAGTATCTTATAGATACTAATGGTTCCAAGTCGTTAAGTATATAAATATTATCATGTATACAATTATTATAATTATTATCAAGTGCATAAGTATTACCATAATCATAATTACTATGTTGATGTATATAATTATTATTATTATTAAATATATAAGTATTATCAAGTTCCATCAGTGGCCAAGTTTCAACTTGAGATTGGTCAATAATGTCAATATCCATTAGTTGTCTCGTAATTTTTTTTTCTTTCAAAAAAGGAATGCTTCAAAAAACAGTAATAGTAACACGAGTATAATGGAAATTCTATTTATATCAGTCTGAGATTTCTTTTATTGGAAAGGTTACCGTGTTACGGTGCCTTACTAAATGTCGTAATTTTTGTGTGGATTTTTATATTTTGTGTTATATTTGAAATGTTTGGTTTCACGGGAAATAATTCGTTGTAAAGAAGACTCGGTTGAGACTTGTAACGGTAAATTCAGTTTACCGTGAATGTATTTTGTCTAATGGATAATGGTAGTGATCTCAATAATTTCCTGATGTTTTAAATGTTGGAAGCATTAATTATTTGAAAAAAAAGTTTTTAAAATTTTTATAAAGTTGACACGACAGCATTTGAAAGGAAAAAGAATCATTAACGCAAAAAAAAAAATTGGTTAATTATTTAATTAGAATAGTAAAAATACATTATATTACACACATAAATACACATATATGAGAATAATTATAATAATTATTGATGCTGCGTATTCACTCAGTTTATTATAGTCAGAACTACTTGGCATTTCAATAATCTTTCCAGCCTTAGATTTTCTACGTTTTAAAATATAAAAAAAAGCTACAAGTATTCCTGAAATTATAACAACCAAAGATGCTATTTCTGCGATTATACTTGGTACAAAACCACCACCACCATTAGTTGAGGTGGAATTATTGTTGGTATGTGATGAGTTGTCTGAGTTGTATTGAAAGTTTGTCATCCATGCATAAGATTTGTATCAAACAAAAATATTTCTCTATTTAAATTTCCAAATTGTATAGTTAAAATTTCTAACAAAAAAAAAATATATTATATGCGGTGACATTTTGACATTTACAAGAATATTTTATCGGTTGCACGTGATACTAATAAAAAAATAAAAAAATTAATCATTAGTGCTGATCCATTTTTTTTAACAATGCATATATAGACGATTAAATTCACTACATAGTAAACATATAATTTTTTTTAGTAAATAAAATCTTTTTTCAGGTGATATTCTTAGCAATACTTTGTATTTTCATAAAAACACATTTTTAAAAAAAAAAAAAAAAAAATTTTTTTTGTTGTATATTCTTTACATTGTCTACCAAATCGTCCCAGGGTAAGTTTCATAATATAAAAAGTCCACCAAATCGTCCCACTATATACTGTAGGACAAAAATACTATAGAAATAGTCAAATAACTGATCTATATACATTTAATTTTAGATAAACGTAAATATATATATACACGCATAATTATAAAAATGAACCAAATCCAAGTCCAAGTAAGTAGTTGACAACTGTTTACTGTTTTCTAGCTTCTTAATCTAATAGTTTTTATATTCTATTTTTGTAAATTAGAACCAAATTTATAAGTGCAATTTGTGTCAAAATGATTATTAGTAAAAAAACATTAATGGTTTACGAAGACATGAAGCTCAAAAACATAAAGAATATAACAGTCCACCTGTAAGTATATTATCATTAGAAGTTCCTGAATTTTTGGTTGAGCAATTTAAACAAGAAATTATATCTGGTTTTTGGAGTTGCTACAAAAATAATAGAAGTGGAAGAGGATGGAAGAAATTTGTTCTAACTTGTCACGAAGCTGTATTTGTTCAAATATTTAGTAATCATATAACAAGATATTCAAGTGTTGATAGGTGGTATAGATGTGTTTTTAAAGGAATGGAGGGGAAAGAAAATTTAAATGAATGTCTGGGGTCAGAAGATTGGGCCATTAAATATTATGAAAATAATGAAGCTGTTTTTTCAGATATATGTACAAGATCAGAAGGTAGTGGAGATATAGTATTTATGTGGAAGGAAATAAAAATCATAGATAATAGGGGAATGAAACAATAAGTAATAAGTTTACTGTTAGGTTATGTATAAATAGAACTACATTAGAAGAAAATAATAATAATGTATAATATTTTTTACTAATAAAATTATTATATTTTTTACATAAATTTATTGAAGCATATCTTGAGAATGATCCAAACAAAAATCTATTTGATGGTGTGAATCATCCAAAAAATAAAATACTAAGACTTGATCATCAGGTATTTTAAAATGCTGAACATTATATTTTTACATGTTAATTTTAATAGCATTCTCTAATTAATGAAATTCTGTGTGTTTTGATGAATCTTGTTCAATATATATAATTAAATTTGCATTGCAATGGATTTTTAAAATTTTGCTTCATGTATAAATATAAATTATTAATAAAAAAACTATTTATATACAGTCAGAACTCGTTAAACCGATGTACTTGTTTTGGGCTCAAAACATCGTTTTATCAAATATTCGTTTTATCAAGTAATCTTTGATAAGACGAAGTTAATATATTTTAAAAAAAAAATTCGGTTTAAAAAATTATACATCAAAGTTTACATATTCATCTATACTACGTTGATGCACTAGTGAACTTTTATATAATAAAATGCTACTTCTAACAGAACGAATACTAGAAATTTGCTTTGTTGAAATTTCAAATTTTTCTGGTGGGTAAGTTACAAAATTAAGAAGTGCTTCAGCACCTCTCAATGCTTCAGTTAAAGTAACTACAGGAGTTTCTATTTCTTCCTCTTGATTACCATTGTTAGATGTCAATGTGACTGTAGCTATGATTTCTTCATCTTCCATTACTGTTTCTTCTTCAACCACTTCATTGTCAATCGTAATATAATCAATTGCCATAATAGGATCGTCAAATGGTAATTTGTCAATTAGATGTTCCAGTTGTGATGATTCTTCTTCAAAATTATCTTGAACAGTTTCTACAATATGACTATCTTGTGATGATGGTGGGATTATTTGGGTTTTTTCCCAACAATTTTGAATTGTTTCGGAACTTACACCTTTCCAAGATTTTGCACAACATTCAATTGCATTCCAGATATTTAATGGAACAATAGGAGTCTCGAATTCTTGAGAAATTTCATATGCCTCTATACGATTTTGTACCAGTAATTTGCGATATTTGGCCTAATAATTAAATGTTAATACATTATTATTTTTTTTTTATTTTTATTTCCCAACTACATAATAATAAGATTAAAAAAACCTTAAACGAATTAATTATTCCTGCGTCGAGTGGCTGGAGATGTGCGGTTGTGTTTGGTAATAAATATTCAATTGTAACATGTGTTAAATTAAGGTCACGATTTGAATGAGTTGGTGCATTATCCACCAAAAGTAGAATTTTTTTGTTTTTTTGTCGCATAGATGTATCAAGTTTTTTTAAATAGTCATGCCATACTGATAATTGCATCCAGGCAGTCGAGTTCCAATAATATTCTACCGGAAAGTCCTCTCTTTGTTTTCCATTTAATGCACGAGGGTTTTTATATTTATGAATAATTAATGGCTTGATGTAATCATTACCTGTAGCATTACATGTTAATAGAACTGTAATGCGATTTTTCGATTTTTTGATACCTGATATAGGTCCCTGTGCCAAGGTCTTGGATGGTTCTAATTGCCAATATAGAGCTAGTATAATGTTAAATTTAAAATTTTTCATTAAATACCGTTTGTAAATAAAATTATTTACCAGTTTCATCACAGTTGTACACATTATCCAAATCATAATGTGAAATAATATTTTGTAATCGATCACGTTCAGATGGTAATAATTCTAATGGTGCACTATTAGCTTCGCCAGCTTTACTATATTGAGAAAAATTATGTCTTTTTTTAAAATTACTTAGCCATCCACCTGATGCTTTAAAATCTCGGAAACCTAACAATTCCGCAAAACATATTGCTTTTGATTGTAATACAGAACCATTAATAGTTAAATTTGCTTTAAGCATTTGTGTTGTCCAAAGAATTAATGCATCTTCTAGACCTGAATATTTTCCTTTGCGTAAACGTTTATTATGTGAATTGGGATCTTCTGGATTAATAGCAAGATATTCTGACTTTCGTTTTAATATGTCACAAACAGTATTTTCACGAATTTTAAAACGAATAGCAAGGTCTCTATTCGTTGGAGTAGGTTTTGATTGTTTTAGAACACATATTTCTCTTTTATCTTTCAACGTCAGTGTATTTTTCATCTTTAATTTTAGGGAACAATATGTACTACCACTACTGTAAATCATTTATAAAATTGTACAAAATAAAGCGAAGTTTCCTTCGATAAACCGATGTTATTCGTCTTATCAAGTTATAGTTTACTATATATGGAACCATATGAAAACATCGTCTTAAACATTAAAGTGAAACAATAGGAATCTTCGTCTTATCGAGTTGATTTTATTATAAATGAATTGGTAAACTAGAAAAACTTCGTTATAACAAAAATTCGTTTTATCGAGTTACGTCTTATCGAGTTCCGACTGTATACACACAATGTATCCTACATGTAAAATTTTTAATATGCACCTACTCACAAAAAGGAGTTTTTTTTTTAATAAATTTAGCCTTTAAAATCTTTGTTGGTCATAATGTATTTAAAATGCTCCAATATTAATCATAATGAAATTGAGCCTTCAAATGATTCTGAAAGTGAAAGCGAATTTATGCTGACCACCATGTTTTTAGAGAACATTCCTGAAGATAGTGATGTTACTGAGAAGGAGAATTCTAGTATGCATTTCACAACTTGGAAAGTTAGTATTATGTTAAACAAATGCGCACAAGAAGAATTTAAGAAAAATTTGAAATGACATACGAAAACAAACTCTTGTTTGAAGATGATAATAAAAAGAAGAGGAATTAACCCATCTAAATTATAAAGAACAAACTGTAATTGGTATTTAAATCTTTCGCATCCTATCTTATGCATATATATATTACTGCATTTTATACTTGATCCTTCTGCAAGAAGATTTGAGTCAAAAAAGCATTACCAAACCTATGTTAAATGGATGTGTGTAGATGGGCATTTAAAACCTCTTGTAATAAAACGATGCATATTAAAATTGTGAAAAAAATAAATAAATAAATAAATATGTTGTGCGTGAAAATCAAATTTGTGTCAATTTGAAATTTACCAATTAAATTTTGGGGGGAGTGTTTGAATAAAAAATTCTGATTGGCTAATTTGAATTTCACGCGCGTGAATTTCAATTTGACGCAGACTCCAAATTCACGCACAACAAATATACCGTGTACAAAAATTTATTAATTTATTTTGTGAAAAAAAAGTTTTTGATTTCTTCACCATTCAATAATAAATTAAAATTTATTTATAATAAGACATTAAATAAAGTTAAAATGTCATTTAATAAATTATTATCACCAGAAAGAAGGAACTTTGTAGCTAAAATTAATGCTGAAATGTATAATATTGCTATATTGAATTCTAAAAAAGAAAATAGAAAAGATTATTTTTTTTCATCAGTCAAAGAAAATAAGGATCTTCTTGAAAATGAAAAACAATTTTGTAAAGAAAAATTTATTTATGATTTTGAATTAAATATTGCAAGAAATAAAAGGGGCAAACCAAAAGAATGCAACAAATGTAAAACAACAAGGTACTCAGATAGATTCTGTGAAGGTTGTATTAGCTTACAATTACAGAGTCTTTTCACCACTTGGACATCTGGAAATAGCATAGTTGATGACTTTATTCAACAATGTCAAATGAAATCATCTCTGCCATATTATACAGTACCTAGACAAAAGAATCGGAATGCATGTTTTTGTTAATTACGTAAAAACATACATATCAACAACATATT